TCGGTGCCCTCCATATTCTTCAGGCCCAAGGACACGGCCCGACGCTCCACAAGTGGATTCCCAACAAAACCAGCCTGCAAAGGGCACCTCAGAAAACCACACAAATGGTGCACTCCCTTTTGGTCGAAAGGGGACATCAAGGGAAACGCTACTTAAAGGGGTGATCGGGTACTTGGTAAGTGGTTTGTAAGCCTAGTGACATAAACCACACAAGCCATGGTTATGAGTCTCCGTTTAGTTGGTTAACTTACTTACCACTTACTAAGTACCCTGCTCCTGCAGGTTGAATTCCAGGGTGGGTCCTTTCTAAGAACCATCCGGAATCGTGCCATTAACTTTCACCCAACTGTTAAACAAATCGGGTTGATCCTTTGCGGATTGTGTTCCGAACCTGTGGTGCCCTTCAAACGTTTGCAGGCAGTTCCTTTCAAAACCAACCGACAACAGTTTGGCAGTTTTGTTCCGCCACGGTCAGTGGAGGTGTTGAAGCCACGACCTTGGCCGAGGTTGATTTCTATCCCTGGGCAATGCTACAGGAAGCAACACCCGGAGCCCTGTGCTTGTTTGTTGGCGAATAATTTATAGGTTGATTGAGTTGTCTTTTGGTGGGGTGATGTCGGCTGATAACTTCTATGTTGATTGAGTTGTCCTTCTTGGCGGGCAATCGGGACATGGGCATGTGTTTTGGGTGCCGAACTCTGTCGCAGATCCGCACTCAAAGAGTGCTTAAAGAGGACTAAAATCGGGTTGGTCAAAAGGGTGCTTTTTCCATGGCCGGTCTTTGGTGTTCCCTTAGCCGCGGAGACCTTTCAGACACGGCTTGTCCATTCAGCCCACAAAAGGGCATATGGACCGTCTAGACCTTTGCTTCGCAGGGAAGAGCAACCCAGTGTTTACTTGACCAAACATGTCCTTTGCCTTGAGCTGTCTTTTTGCCAGCTTGTTTTAGAGTGAGACGGTCATAGCTGGCAAACACTCGATTTTGTTGTGGCACTTCGAGAGAATGGAGGAAAGGCTCCGGTGGCCACTTGCTACCCTTTCGACCATGGACTAATGTTCATGAGACCACCCGTGTCCAAAGGAACCCGATGAGTCGCGTGCCGACAAAGCAGGGAATCAGCAAGTGAGCCGCAGTGATTGTCTGAATAAAGATAGCTCTTGGAACAGTGCCAGCCAATAAATGCAGCCAGATTCCCGTAGGGTAGACCTTGAATACCAGTTTTCATAGTGACTGAGTTGGGGCTAGGTGGATGTTGTCCACCCAGGCCTGTTGATGCTCGAATTCAATAAACCTATAGTTGGTGGTTTGGATTGGCGGTTATTGGGGATTTGAACCCCTGGTTCTTGCAGAGGGTAAATGGGAACCACCCCCGAACACATCCAAACCAGAACTCCCAGCCACCAGTGAGAGGCTGATAAATTTGCCCTGGTCGAAAGGACTTTTTGTTGTGGAAGTTCGACGTTCGAAGCTTCTGTCTTTACCCGTGCCCCAGGCTCTGTTAGTCTGTTCGGCTCTGTTAAGTTCATAGCCCTTTGTGGGCCGGCCCATAGGCTGAGGCATCCTGGCCCCTTCTACCCAAACGATTTTGCGAACTAGAACCTGCTCTAAAAAGGGTTCTAAGAGCCTTTCGGGTGGAAGGGCTACTTGAAATGGCGATCTGGTACTTGGTTGGCTAGGAAGCCTGGTGAAACAACCCACAAATGCCATGTTTAGATGTCTCCGTTCAGTGGCTTGTTTCACCAGGCTTACAAACCACTTACTAAGCACCCCTTTAAGTAGGGTTCCCTTGATTTCCCCCCTGCCCAACCAAAAGGGAGTTCACCATTTGAAAGTGTGTTTTGCTGAGGTACCCTTTTCAGGCTGGTTTAAAGGGAATCCACAAGGAACATCTTCGGGCCCCCAGTAGTCCCTTCCCCTATGCACAGCCTAGACCCAGGGGTGCCTCGTCGTTCTCTCGCAGGACCGCGCCGACGAGAGCGACGCAGCGAGGGAGAAGTTCTTTGTGCCGGAGAGTGGCTTGGCGCAAGCTCTGCCAAGCTCCCTTCCCCTGCTTTGGTTGGGTTCAAAGGGAAAGCAGAAGGACACCCTTGCCATGTTGGGGTTCCCCCAAAACTCCTTCTAAGGGATTGTTTGCGGTGTTGCTTTTCGTTTCCCGAACCCAGAAGCTCTGCTACCATCCATACCCCCTTTAAAGTGGGTTGATTGGGGGAGGGGGAGCCCTGGAGATCTCTATGTGTGGTTCCATGTTTCTTTTCCTGAGGTCTAGAAAAATTGGAATTTGGAGACACCCCACACTCTTTTTTGAATAGGGCCATTGGGGCTGTTCCACCTTTAGCCTACCACTTAGACAAAATAACTGACTTTGATAGTATGAAAATGGGGCCAGTCAAGCTCTGCCGAACTCTTCCAGGAAGTTCTTTGTCCCCAGCTGAAAGGCTTTGGTGGGGGGGATCTCTGCACAAAAAAGATCCGGAGTGGTTTGGAGCGGCTGCGAGGGGTTTTCAAATTTTGTAATGCGTCCGCGGCGTGTTGGGAATGCCGCATGGGATGATGATGATGATCATGATCATGATGATGATGATGACGACGACGACGACGACGACGATGATGATGATGATATGTGTGTTCCCCTTTCTGTGTGGTCTCACAAAGATCCGTGGGTGCTAAGTGGCCCACCTTGAGTTTCTGCCAGGGAAAAAAGGCTGTGTTTGTTTTGTCCCAGACCCCTTATTAGCAACCAGGCCCCTGTTTGACGGCAGCCTTATTTGGCCGAGCCACGGGGCGTACCAGGGTTGCGCACAAGACGTCCAACCATGGAAACAGAAGCACGCGCTTCAAATTGACGTGGAACCCAACAAAGAGGTATCAACCATAAGCAACATAACGATTGTCTAAGTGTTTGAGGCTGTTTTTGATAGCATCGACAAGCGAGGGTGGTAACACAACTCGTCAAGGGGCTGATAAAAAAATAACAACTTTCCGTTGCCCCTTGTGCTTCAACTGATGCTAAATTCATCATAGGCGCGGAACCCAAAAGTGCCCCTAAGGTGATCACCTCACCATGCTGAACGTGTACCAGCAATGGGGTCACAACGGCTACAGCTTCGCGCTCAGACCCGAGGCGCCAGGTCGCCAGAAATTGGGGGGTTTTGCCCTTTGGATTCGATGCACTCCCAGCTGCTAACATACCCTGCGGGGCCGGTCTTGCAAGAATATGTTCCTCAAGGGGACTTTTGGTGGGGTAGGCTCCTTCAATGCCAGGCTTTGATTAAGACTGTGCCGCCTGACTAGGGACAATGCGAGTGCTTCCTGGCTTGGGCGTTAGCCAGGTTTTGGTAACGCCAGTTTGGTGGCTGGCTGGTCTTTCGTGTGACCTTGTGGCCCCGTTTCCTTTCAGAAACAATATTTTTGCATACCCGCAAAAGTTCCAATGCGACCTGTTGCTCGTTCGGGGGGCTGGCTCAACTGGTCGGAGGAGCCATCGGCTTGAGTCCCCGGCTCCAGGCGCCAAGTGGTGCGGCGAGCATTTCGTCCACCAAAAGTCGCTGAAGAAAGTCCGCGAGGTGTCGGCGCCTCAAAGCCGCATCCTTCCACGGGCGACACCTGGTGCCAGAATGTGTGTGTGTGTATGCTATAGTGTACCTTTATTGAATTCAGCTGTCCCCTTGTTCAGAGGTGTTGTAAACTTCATTGAATATGTGCATGTTCGTGTTAAAATGAATTGGTGTAGCTTCGAGCTTGCAACTTTTGCGTACACTTTGTCATGTGAAATTATTGTGTTGGTCCATGAATCCGGGCGAGTCCGCCGACGCAGATTCCTCCAGCATCCGAGCGCCCAAAACCCTCGTCCGCAATGGGGTGCATGGAACGGTTTTTGAAAGCCTTGAGAACCAGGTTGGTAGAGCCACAGGTCAATGGGTTTGGGCGCTGTGAATGTCCACTGAAGAGAAATCACAACGGCTCCAAGTCTTAGATATCAATTCCTCTTGGCAATGCTCAGGTTATGAAGTGGATCTCAAACTGCCACGATTTGCAAAGGGGTGGGGAACTTTGCAGGTTCCTTTTACAAACAGTGGAGTCATGTGGGGGTTGATCAACATTCCTGGCCGCCAAATGACCATGGCCTACTTTTCCCGGGAGGAGAAAGTCGTATATTTTTTTGTTGTTTCCCCCGATGTTCTTCCCATGTATCACAGACCTTTTGATTAAGCCCCATGTCTACGCCGCATGCAGGGCCCCTGTTGGCCAACCATGGCATGTTGGCCTTCAGGCGCGGCCAGCTGGAGGAGATTATGCGCCAGACTTAGGGCTCCGACTTGCGAGTTTTGACCCAGGGGTCCCGAGTTCTTTCCCTTTTTTGGTGGTTTTAAACATCCCCTTTGTTGGCCCAAAGGTGAGTATCCCTGAGTGGGGTGATGTTTTTGTTTGTTTGTTTGTTTTTTTGCGGGGGAACTATGGGGAGCCCTGCAACCAGACAGGTTCATAGAATTCAATGGAACCCACTCCAAGACTTGGTTCCTTCAGACCATTGGGGGCTTTTGGTTCTGACTGGTCGTCTCATAAAAGGCCACCAGCCGAACGGTTATGCTTTGGTTTCAGACCCCCTATATCACCAACCCTCTAACTGGTGGCTTGGATTGGTTAGGGGGTGGTGTCCCATTTAGCCTCAAAGCCAAATTTCCCCAAACCACCAATCCAAGCGACCAATTTGGGATCATCTGACTACTTGACCCCCTGAGCCCGGAACAGCGGAACAAACCACACCCAAAGAGGACTCCCCTTGACCTGAGTCACGCGAAGACGGCGTATTCAGGGATCAGGTGGCGCTGCCCAGAAGCCGCTGGGTTACTGTACATGTTCTCAGGCTTATGCCTCTTGCCCGCAAATCGGCAATCAGGTGTTTTTTTCCGCATCCGAAAGGAATGCTGTTGTTTGAGCCCATTTGGGCGTCCCAGAACAATAGGAGTCCCCTACCAGAAGCGGGGTATGCTAACCAAGCAGGGCTACGTCCAACTATAGTCGCTTTTGCTTGTCTTTTCTTGGCCTCCGGTCAGTTTCTGCCACCATGTACGGAGCGACAGCTGTTTGTTTTGAGTGTGGTTGAATCAGAAGTGGGTGCCAACTATCAACCAGAATAGCTTTGTCATCCTACCCAAAACAGAAGCCAAGAGGGGATTGTGTGTGTTTTTAGACCCACCCAGATAGAAGTGGGTGCACTACTAGAAGAAGGCCCGAAGCTCGGGTACCGTTGCTAGAAGACTGCGCCTTGAACCCCACCATCCTGTCCGAAGACTTTCGATGGGTTCCCTCCTTCGCCCCTTCGCTGTGCCCCTTGTTGGAACGCCCTTAGAGCGCCTGGGTACTTGGGGGTTCATAAGGGCTCAGTTGTCCAATGCGAATCGACCCTTTGACCTTTTGGTTTACAGGTTGAACCATGGAGATCCCGAAAGGTTAACCTTCTATCTCCAGGTCCTTTGGGGAAGTGAGAGGGTCATGGCTCCTCTAACTGGGGGTCTGAGGAGAACGGTACCCCTCGTGTGGCATACGCAAGGGTCGACCCGCATTGCCTGCGGGTACCAGACTGAGACCAAAGAATCTGCTCAACACTCGTCCTTAGCCCCAGACTTTCACGCAGCTCAAAGCAAGGTTCGGAAGGAACCTGCTGATCGAAAGGTATAGACCCTCAAAACCCTGGTACAAGGACAGTGTATCTCGTGTGTATGTATCCTGTACGAAACCCAAGTATTTAGTCGGTCTTTGGCTATTCTCCAGTATTCTTAGTTGGTATGTGGCTGAGTTCGTGGTTTGAAGCACGGCCTTCTGGGCCGTGTTGCTTGGTAGGGGTGTCTTTAGGCTGAACATGCTTGGACCCCTGGAGTCTTGGGCGTCTCAGGCAGCAGCAGCACCTGCAGATCAACTCCATTGGCTCGGACCCCCGGTCTGATTGCACCAGGGCAAGGCAAAACCGGTTGGTTTCCCTTTGAAGTGGCTGTCAAACCCTGGGTTCCAGCCTTATTCCTTTGAGCTCGGGGCCAGAAAGGGCTACAGCTATTGGGGCAGAGGGATTCGAATCAACTCAGAGGTTCCAGTGGACAAATTCGGTGGTGCAACCAACATCAACGAGCTTGGATTCCCCGGGTGTGTCTTTGGTTTCCCTTCAAGACCAACCAAAAGGGGACACCCTCAGCAAAAGACACGCCTACCGGGCCATGTGTGCACATGGCTCGGTGAATCTGGGTCCGTCAGCTCCGACAGAGCTTGGATTCCCCTTCAGCTCCCTGGCAGCAAAGGCAAGCCCAGTTGTCGGTCCCGACGTGACCTCAGCTCTTACACCACAGTAAACTCGGCTTTTGTTCAACCCTTAGCCAACAATATCTAGAATGACCATGTTTGCGCAGGGAATTACTTGGTGGATTCGATCCGAGTGTGCAACACAAATCCAATTGAAGTTTGCATGTATATAGTGCACAATAAATGACAAACCTCATGGTTTTACCATGGTTGTGGGGATGGTTTACTTGTTAGAGGCCAACCGTCAAAAGAAGACACGACCATTTCTGGCTTTGGAATTATCATGGGTTGATGGTTTGGTGGTGTTCCATGTGTGGTTTCCATTTACCCTCTCAAAGAACCCGGGTTCGAGTCCCAAAACCACCAATGTAAGCCACCAACGAGCAGTTACATAAAATTAGGAGTGCGAACGGAGTGGAGAGAGACAGGGTAAAGTGATGGAAGTTTGATGGCGTGTTATGTATCTTTGGTAAGAGCACCGCTGACGAAGGCAGTAGATTCAGGCGGACAAAATATGGCCACTCATTGTCCTTCTTGGCACCGGGAGCTGGATTATCCGTGGCGGGAAAGCGACCAGAGGAAAGGAATGGCATATCTTCTTACTCCCTGCAACCTACCCAACTCTCAGATGCCTTTCGATGCACGAGATAGAAAGATAAGACCGGTACTGGCAGGGTACCAAAGTGTGTATAATCCTTACTTGCAATTATTGCTGTGTCGGTTTCCAGAGTTGGCATGCGCTTGCCCATTCGCTTTTTGGTAACCACGCTGCTGGTACATGAGCAGCTGGGGAACCTCATGTCTAAAACGCCAAGCTCCATGGTGCCCTTGTGTGCCCTGCAAAGGTGTAGGGAAGAGGAGAGCGGGTGATATGTAGGCCCCAGTTTGATGTCATTTGCTTCAGACCCAGGGGGGACATTGCAACCTGGCTAGTGAGTATGAGGGCTCAAGGGCCAAGGAGGGCCATAGCTTCCATTGCTTCAGAATATGTTGTTCTTTTCCCCTGTTGGTTTTTAAGTTGGAATCTATCTCCACTGGACATATGTTTATCTATTTCAGGGAGCAGATGGACGCAGGCCCTTGCTATTGGCCCACCGTTTTTTCCTGGAGACCTGCATATGCATTTTATATTCAAGGGATTTGAAGCAAACAGAAGCACCGTCGCGTGGCCAGGCACAGACTGGGACATGGTGCGCAAGGCCATCTGCGCGGGATACTTCCACAACGCCTCGAAGCCCGAGCCTTGAATCTGCTGCCCCGAATTCCTGTTGGGGATGGGATAGCGACAGGATCCGTTGGGATAGCAACAGGATCTTTTTATTTGGGATCTGCTATACTTGTGTTTAGCCCTTTTTTTTCTGGGATGCTGCTGCTTTTTTTTGGGATGGGATGGGGTCGCAAACGAGTAAGGCCAAGATCCACGAAACAATTTCGCGGGACTGGAATGGCACTTTTAGCATGAGTTGCCCAAAGAGGAAGCTGGAGGTGTCCAGCGCATGCCACAGGTTGCGGGTTGTTGAGGGTTTTTCGGGGAAAAGCGAATCGGGGGATGCAAAAATTTGATGTGGGTTGGGATCCGAAGGGGTGCCGCGTGTTCCCAAAGCTCAAATGACACATCATGGTTGTCGTTGGGAAACATTTTTCCAATTTTTGCTCATGGTGGCTTGGGAAATCCAACCACTGAACAGCTAAGATTTAAAGTGTTGCTCCCCTTCCAACGTCAACCAAGACATGTTCGAGTTTCATTGTTTTGCTTGGGGGTGGGGGGTTTAGATGGGCCTTTTCTTCCCCTGGAGCGATTGTTTTTGGAGACGGTGCTCTTTTTGAAGGCTGAAAGCAACTCAAAGACCTAGCAGAATTTCGACGGTTCGGCAGACACTAAAACCTAGAGGAAACCAGAGACCCTCCCCACATGCCGAGAAGCCCTTGACGCGAATTCTGAGAAACAAATCAAGGGGGGACAGGCGGGCGAGCCCTGTTTGAAGGGGGGCCCGCGGAATCGATCCAACTGCACTTTTGCTCTTTGAGCTTGATGTCGGAGTTGCGGCTGCGCCGGGAGAACGGGTTTTTGCAATTTGTACCAGAATTCAGTGGGTCATGACTGACATCGTTGGGGTTCCGCTGCACCCCTTCAATTGGAGTTGTGGCATGTGGCATTTGTTGTGTTGTACATAGTAAGTTGTTTGACCACTTCGGCTCGTTTCTCTGTGATGCCCCACGCAACGCAACTGTCACCATCCAACCTCAGGCCAGATCCTGAGGCCCCCCATGGCCGGTGGGAAAACAAAACCAAAATAATCCCAAGGTTGCGAGGCATCGGGGAGTATGTGAACCTCAGGCTCGGGGTCTTCCCTGGAGGTCTTCTTCGGGGACCCAGATCCCAGACATGGGCGTTATCCCCGCCTTCCAAGCCCAGCTGCTTGTGTGCTTTGTTTGGTTTGTCCTGTCTCACTGGATCTTGTGGCACAAAGAGCCAGTGGAGACATGGGTGTTTAAACTTTAAAGTGGTATCAGCGGCCAAATCCAGAGCTTGGCTCTCTGGTTTTGGGTGTATGGGTTAACCCTTGATGGATGCAGTTGTGCAAAATCAGAAGGATAGCCGCCGAGAGAGGCACAAAGCGACATGTCGCGTGCTGCTTGCAGCCAGGGCTGTTAGTAACTGACTGCAAGACGGCGCAGGGTGAAGGACGCAGTGTGAAAGCGTCTGTTTTCCAGGGATAACCTTTGGATTGCAGTGGACCAATGGATGGGCTGTTCCAAACAGACCTTGCATTTTCTACGGCCTTACCAAGGGCAGTCCGTTGCGGTCCTTGGGGTGGTTGGGGGTTGGGGGTTGGGGGGGGGGCAGAACAGGTTTCCCGCCTGGAGTTCCCCATGGCTGTGGCGAGTGCCCGAAGTTCCCGGACCTGTGCCTATGGACCCCCAAAGTGCGAGGTGTCCTTTTGGTTTCTTCGAACCAATCCTCAAAGTCACCCTCAAAAAACCGAAGCAAACCATTCCTCTATCACTTTGTCTTTGAAGTTCCCGGATTCGAATGCTCCATTGGCCATGGTGCAGATGAACGAAACCGAACAGCTGGTCATGTCCCCTTCTGGATGAGTTGGAGAGTCGCCTGGAAAACTTGTTGGTTCTCAAATTCGGGGTTCTGGGAATGGACCAGAAAAATCTCCCCATAAAGGACACCCTCACTTGCCGAAAGCCTCACCTTGTGCCCCTTTGTGTTTGCTGGTTTATCTTTCTATTCCCAAACCCGAGGGTACAACAAACCAGTGGGATGCTTGGCCAGTTTGTGAGGGGCTCGGAATCGAACAGGTCCCGGATCCCGGCGAATCTGCACCCCACCAGCTCCTTGCCCGAGCCTGAGCCATGGGGAACTGGGGATTCATTAGCGACCCTTGACTTGCGGGGGCGTCCGTTTTGCAGGAAACGGAGCCCCCAAAAAGGGTGTTTTTTTGTTGTTGCTTCTTTTGATGGCCCTTCAAAACCACCAAAAGGGGGTACTCAAAAAGAAAGACAGACCCATGTTTCACTCAAGGAGTCATGTTTTGTTGTTTTTGTTTTGCAATGTGTGAAGTATCGTTGTTTGCCCGGATAGCTTATATACTCCTATTAGTCAGTCATGGCGAAACATGTTGTTCAAGTCACAACCCCAAAAGGAGGGGGGGTTGGACTCTATGATGCCAAGCCCGTTAGTAGCTTTTTTTCACAGGGATCATCGCCCTTATTTGAGGGTTGTGTAGAGCTTAGAATACCCTATGTTTCTTATTAGTCATCACCTGGTTGATGAAAAGCAATAAACCTCCGACAACTTCGGCATGCTTTTGATCGGGACCCCTGCAACCTTCCGGCAGAGAGGGACACCTTCCCAAAGCTTTGCCGCTGGTTTTGCCTTAACCCAGGGGTCAAGATTCTTGGGATTGCTCCAAAGTTTGAACCACTTACAGCCTCACACTTCCTGAGCTCCTTTGAGCTTTTTTTGCAAAGGGTTTGGGCACAGGAAATTCTACAGGAAATGGATATCCCCAAAACACCCTCAACAAGCTGTTTTCCCGTAGAAGTTCCTGTAACCCAACCCTTTGACCTTTGGGCTTGAACCATTTTGGTGGTATACAATAAATATAACAAGCTCTAACTTCTGTTGGCCAATCCACTCTCTTCGAGGCGGTTGGGGGAAGCCAGGTTGGGGAGATGGGGATCCTAGTAGCTTTTGCCCTTGATTTGCTCTAGCCATAAGCACCTCTGGGACGTGTCGAAACTTGGCCCCTTCAAAGTTGTCGAACCCATACGACCTGAAGAAATGGCTTCCCTTCTGTTAACCCACAGGCCACTGGTGCAGCTTGCATTTGCTCAAGGGGGTTTGGCGTCAAGGACAATGATGTCCATGACTTGCAAATTTATATGGTTCTGTGTCTTGTTGGCCTACGGTTCGGGGTTGCAACCGAACCACTCGCCCCCCTTTCAACTGCTCTTCCTTTGTGGGGGACTCCCAACTTGTCTTGCCAGGCTGACAACATCCAACCACAAAACCAGAAGACAAGTTGCGGCAAATCCCCGGGTGCCCAACACGGGTCAGTCAGTGACAAGCTGGCTCAGCCACAGTGATGACGAGTAATGTTCGAGGATCAAGGAGGGCATCCATCCATCAAGGCAACGGGGGCCTTAGCGGTCTTCCATCTCCCACTTACCCACCAGGAGGGTTCCCATAAAAAAAAAAAAAAAAAAAAACTACACACAAAAAGAGTTGGTACCCTTATTCTAACCTCTCTACTGGAGGACCTAGCTTCTGTTTCACATGACGCATGGGGGAATTCCAGGTATGGCCTGGGCTACACGCCAGACTACGTGGTGTACCACGAGGCCGAAGCGAAGGGCAAGCCTTCTGCATTTGAATGGCTCACGGGCAAGCCCCGGCTGAGCATACCTCCTTTGTCAAAGGCCCCTCCCAATGCAGACCCACCATCCAAATTCCAGAATTGCCAATGTCTGCATTTTCAATGGCTGTTAGGGCCTATGACGGCATATTGGTATAATTAGGGGGCCCTGTTGCGTGGCCCGTTTTGACAACCATTGGAATTTGCGGCACTGCCACCCCCCACTCGCCAGCTGCCACTGATTTGGGATGGGGCGTTTGATAGGCAATCACCTCTTCCATTTGCGAAAAGTTCTAAATGGGATCCACATGGTTTGAGCGGGGTGTGTAAGGCTAAGGGTCTATTTCAAGGAGGTAATTTGACTACTTATAGACTTACACGTGGTTGTTCATAATGATATTGTCTGAGTCATCCAGCCTATCCATTTGGTTTGTTCCATCCCAGTCAGGAAGGATCCATGAAAAGGAAACAACTAGCGTGCAGAGGGCCTGGTTAGCGTGAATTCGGGCGAGCTTTTGTCGCGTCATAGGCTAAATATGGCTGAATGTGTATGTCCGTGCATGAACCTGTGGCGAGAACCCCTCGCTTCTTGCCTAACTAATTAGCCACTACCCTCCACTAACACGGCACCTGACAGAGGGTCCTTTAAAGAGGAACTTGATCTTCCAGGTGCCCTACCGCAAATGCAATCATGTTCGTGGGAGGCAACTTTTAGTTGAATGGGAAGGTTGAGGGATCCAAACTGCTATGGCAATGGGAAGCCTGGGTCCCGAATAGTCTACTAATAGTCGAAAGGGAAACCAGCTTGAAACCAATCTGGATGGGGTCCCAACATGTTTAAATAGCTCATGCTTCCATTTACTGAAATGAACATTTGTTGTTTTGCTTTGGTTCTACAGATGGAACCGATTTCACTGCTGGACATATTTTCTCACTTGTTCTTGGGGGTGAAAAAGCAAATAGAAGACAACCCTTTCATGGGTCTCCTTGCTATGGCCTATAAAATTCCTGGAGAGGTGGCGCCTTATTTAGTAACCACTACTATGGGCATGGAGTCTGGAGTTTCGAAATCACTCATGCGTTCACAGGGTCAGCCTTGGTCGCCTGCAGGTCATGGTGACTGTGAAGGAGTACATGCAGACGGTCACCGCCGTGGATCCCTACTGGCTGGCGGAGCTGGGGAGCCCAGCGCGGAAGAAATCCAAATCGCGTGGCAAGCGCTACTTGAAGGGACGATCGATGCAGGGTACGTCAGGAAAGTGGTGACTGACCGTAAGCCTGGTGACATAACCCACTGAACGGCGACTTGTAACCATGGGCTTTTTGGGTTATTACCAGGCTTGCTAGTACAATACTCTGTTAAGTAAGGAGGTAAAAACGAGGCCACTGACAATGGGCATCCCTTCCTTGGGCAAAATCGACATGAAGGGCCGTTTTTTTTTTCCCCCCGATTATTGTGGTTGTTCATTCACTCGTGTATTTCAACCATTTTTGCGTTTCAGGATTCTACGTCCCAGGTGGGCCCTGATCCTCCCACCCTTTAACATGGAACCTGACGTTCGGAGGGTCCTGGCTTTAAACGTCAGGTTTTATGTTAGTTGGTGGGAGGGTGAATAGCTTTGCATTTCTTCTTCAGGCCCACCATTTGCACACTTGAGCAGTCTAACTTTAATGATTCCTCATCTTCGGGAAGGGATAATTGGGGATGGGAACCACTTGGGTATCACCGAAAGGGTCAGCCATGTTCCACAAACTTCTTTTTGTTCTGGCATTTTGTTTGTGTGAGGCAATTCCTATTTGCTGGTTGGATTTGCGACCTCGCTCGCAAAAAATGCGACCTCGACAAGACCTTTGGGCACTGGCATCCGCAAAGCTGCGAGACGAGGGCGGCAACGAGCAGCCCTCCGCAGCTGTCACTGTGTCGTGCTACATCTGCGGCTGGCACCTGGCTGGCTCATGAGCGCCCGTGGCTGCTGACGGTCATGCATGAGCCTGCGTGGGGGGAACCGGAACCCCCCCCCGGAACTCCTCCAAACCTCCAATGCCAACCACCAACCCAGAGGGAAGCTGAACGGACCCTAAAACGTGTCGTGAGTCGCGGGTGCCAAGCGAAATCTTTCGGTATCACCAGGGCGGCGTGTTGCTCGCGAGGATGGGCCCCATGTTCTTCTCCGTGAAGGAGTCCAGCGGAAGCCCCAGCAAATGAGCCTGAGCGAATGGGGAGTTCCTTTCAGTTTCTTGTACCAGTGCCAATGCCAGGGTCACTGCTGGGCGGTCTCTAGAAATAAGTTTGTTCCATTTGAGGGTAACCTAAATTTGGGCCAGAGTCTGAGCTGTGTTTTTCGGAGTTCGCCCAGATTTGCGCCCAGATGTTCTGAAGAGGGTTGCTTTGCCGTGAAGGAAGCCACAATGGCCCGCTTTTGGCATGAAGCACCCAGTAGTTGGTCAAGAGAAACGGGCCACCCGCAGGACAGCAAGGGACGGCACGAATTTCGTGTGGCTGGCGATTTTAGGGCAAACTCACCTGGGGGCAACACGAGCTATGGTGTAGGCCCTTTGCTTGGTGATTCCTCGTTTCAGGTTCTTGATTTGTTTTGGAAGTTGCAGATCCTGGGTTGGGCACCCTTCGGTGCCTTTGTGTTTTTTCTTTCTCCGGCCGGGAGGCCCAACAGAAACACACCGCCACCATTTCCCTGAAATTGTTTATTCCGGGTGTGGTTGGTCGTGAGTTCGGGCCCGAGCGGGAAAGGCTTGCTGGCAAAGGCTTGCCCACCAAAAGGGTGCAAGGAGTGCTAATCGTGTTGATAAGAATTGGGGGGGCGGCCAAGTCCAAGTTGTTTGGTTTCCTTTTCACAAGGTGTTTGGCGAGTTTGCCTTTTGGCATAAATCCCCAAGAAAGTTTCGGGACACTGCAGCTTTCGGGAATCTGTTTTTTTCCAGCAGTGAGGCTTACCCGGATGCCCATGTTCCAGATATGTTCACCTCAATTCAACCAACCAAAAAGGGGTGTCTATTTTTCCATGGCCACTAGGCAAGTTTGAGCGATAAAGAGCACCTTCACACGACCTTTATGACTTTATGAGACAGGGGTGCCACCCCTAAAGTAAAGGATGTCTCTGGCAAGAAGGAAATTTATGGAGCTTACGCCTCCAAGCCATGTTTTACCTGGCGGAAGGATCTCATACAGGCCTCGTTCTGTTTGGTTCCATTTTTGTGGTGCTCACTCGGGGAGCAAAGACTTCCGCGCGCAAACGGGCTTCGGGCTGGGATTTCCCTTTATTATTGAGTCAAGAGTATAAGGCACCTCTCAAAATGGGTGGTGGTTCTTTAGATGTCCCTTGCAACCGGTCTTCAAATGGGTACCTTCTAACCCATATGATAGCCCTATGTGCTCCCCTTTTCAACCCCTTTGTTCCATATGTCCATGTCCCCAACTTTGTGTCTTGGAGGTAGTGACTTCCATGCGCGGCAACGGCAAGAAGAAGAGGAGCGCAGGAAGATGGAGTGCCCTTCCCTTTGTTTCGACCTGTGTCTTTTTCGACTTCCCCCAGTAGTGCCCTTTTACCGTGTCTTTTTTGGGGGAGGGTTCCCCACACCTATTTTGGGGTAGACTAAACACAAAGGCAGAGGTGAACATATGATTTCCAGCAGAAGTACTCCGCAGGGAATGAGGGAACGACCCTTATAAACCATCCCTTGTGGTTTCCTTTAAGGGGACCCTTGGGTTCATTCCCACATTCCCTACCGAGCACCAGCAAGAGAACGTTCTGGGCTTTCAGCGCGGCTCAATTGAGTCATGTGAAGTTCAGGCTTGAGGCTGCAGAATGGAGACTCAGCGGGCAAGCAAGCGAAATGTCGAATTAGGTAGCCCCCCACCTTTCCCCAAGGGAGGTCCACAAACGCAAGGCGTGTATGATTAGCTTTTATATAGCTTGCTAAGGCTCGGACATCACAGGAGAGCGAAGGGGCTTCCTGATGGGTACCTGGTGGCTAAAAGGAAGGAAGCGCTTTGTTGCCACTTGCGGCATCTGCTTTGCTCACCACTTTTCCCAGACTACCGGCACGATGATGCTGATTTTGGTTGGTGGTGGTGATGGATGATGATGATGATGATGATGATGATGATGATGATGATGATGATGATGATCATGATGATGATGATGATGATGATGATGATGGTGATGGTGATGGTGATGGTGATGGTGATGGTGATGGTGATGGTGATGGTGATGGTGATGGTGATGGTGATGGTGATGATGATGATGATGATGATGATGATGATGATGATGGTGATGTTGATGGTGATGGTGATGGTGATGGTGATGGTGAATGATGATGATGATGATGTTGATGTTGATGGTGATGGTGATGGTGATGTTGATGGTGATGGTGATGGTGATGGTGATGGTGATGATGATGATGATGATGATGATGTTGATGGTGATGGTGATGGTGATGGTGATGGTGATGGTGATGGTGATGGTGATGGTGATGGTGATGGTGATTGGTGATGGTGATGGTGATGGTGATGGTGATGGTGATGATGATGATGATGATGATGATGATGATGATGCTGATGCTGATGCTGATGCTGATGCTGATGCTGATGCTGATGCGGATGCTGATGCTGATGATGATGATGATGACGATGACGATGACGATGACGATGATGATGACGATGACGATGACGATGACGATGATGACGACGATCACGATCACGATCGTGATCACGATGATGATGCTGGTGGTGCTGGTGGTGATGGTGATGGTGATGATGACGGTGATGTTGATGTAGATGAAGAGAATGATGATGAGGATGAAGATGATGACGATGCTGGTGGTGGTGATGATGATGATGTTGATCACCATGCTGTTGTTTATAATGATCATGTTCGTTCCTGTTGTGAATGTTGAGCGGAATGGTTGATGTGTGACAGGTCATGGATGATGAACATGATCGAGGGCTCTTTTACGTTCTCACCAAAAAGGACCTTACTTGCCAAACAGTAGACATGTTGTGTTTTCAGCTTGCCAGAATTGAACAAGGATTCCGTTCTTGCTGGCTTGTTTTTTGTTGAGTGGCGGCCGGAGTTCCCCTCCCACCAATTATATAACATGGAACCTGAAAAGGGGGGGGAATGGTCTTCCAGCACCCACCTGTCAGGTTGCATGTTAATTGGCGAATGATTGGCGAGAGGGAAAGAAAAAGCAGACATGAATGTTCAACAAGCTCCTGGCATTTGACGCAAGAGGCTTTCCGTTCTCCGGAGGTACGAGCAGAAGCTGAGGGACGATCTCGAGCGGCAGGCAAAGCAGGAGGAAGCCGCCAGAGCCTCAGCGTGTGTTTTTTTGTTTGTGCCAAGGCTTGGGGGGTGGTTCTTTTCAGGCAGCCCTGACCCTCCCACCCTTTGACAGGGGGTCCCTGTGAAAGGAAAGCTGTCTTCCAGGATCCCCTGTCAGGTTCCGTGTCAATGAGCGGGGCGGTAATTGGGGTTAAGGAGGGGTTCCCCATCCAATTCCTTTGTGGCTCGGATGTGCTTGTCTGGGGTGGATCCTCACTTGTGTCCAGACAGCTCGGGAAATGCAATCTTCCTGGGGAAAAGACGGATTCGCCAGCGAGGAAGCCTTGGTACGCAGCGGTGGACAGGTCGCTGAGCCGGAACCTCAGGAACGGCGAGGCCACGCCCTCGAATCCGATTCCGGTAGATGAAGGTTAGTGAAGGATAGTCGCAGCCATATACCATGGTTAACCAAGGGCTCACTATCCATTTAGTAAGGTAGATTTTGGTAGATGATAGTCCCAGCCATGAATGGGTGCGAATTAATTCCGGCTGTTTAACTCTTTCCCATGGATGTTGGGTCCATTTTAATGCAGGGTTTTGACCTTATTGCCCTCAATCTGTGGCATGCCGTGGATTCTCCAAATACTGCGATACTGCAAGGGATAAATCCTGATTTGCAACACGTGGTGAGAAGTGACGGAAAGCAAGGCCATCACATCAAGTTTGAGCCCTGCACTGAAAGCAACATAAGCTTCCATTTGGTTAAGTCCACTGGACAAATGAGCATATTTCCAGCAGTGATAAATTTTCCTTAAAACCAACAAGGGGGAACCTACTAAAACCGCCAGAGCCGATTTACAGGACGATTTGCATCCACCAACTAGTTGCGATGACTTTCCCAATGAAATTCCTAGCTAGGATGCTAAACAGGGGGTCCAGAAAAAACAAGATTCTTATTCCCTGTCGGGGTCCTTTCCTATGTTTTGCTCACTGCCTGAGTGGGTTGGCCAGAACACGCGCAAACTGTTTTATTTAATGCGGCGAGCTCAGGGAATGAGTTTGAGTTTGGGGAAAGGTCCTTGAACCCACCAGGTACTCCTTGAGGGAAAGTCACACGCACACTTCTACAAATCTGGGCGTCAAAAAAATCAGCAGGAACTGCACCTGAGACATAGGGGAGTGGTTGGTGGCTGGTGGCCATACCTCCCCATGGCTCTATGCAGCGCCACATGGCTTCGGCTACAGCGATCCACTGGGATTTGACGTCGTCAGCATTGGTTTTTGGGATGTGAAGTCGGTGCAAAAAGTCCTTAGCCAACAGGAAAACATAGATCTTAGACCAGCCAGAAAACTCTCAAATTTCAGAGATGGTTCACTTAAGGCTTGATGGATTGGACTGCCCTTCGGATATTTGCTCAGACAATCACTTAGTTTGACCATGAGCCTTGCGGGTGAACTGATTGGGTGATCCTAAATCAATTCTACTAACTGGATCTCAGGATGCTGCACATTGCGATGGGATTCAGGTATTCCCCGCTTTTTCTCGGTCGTTTCGAAACAACTGCGTGTTGCGAGGCTTCCGCAAAGACGCCCTGTGAAACGAGGGATCCCGGACGGGGTCGCAAGAACTGGTTCGGAAGTGCGGGGAACGCCGCCGCCTTTGGCACCGCCTGCTCTTAGGGTGGGTAAGAAGCGGGCACCGCGCGATCTCAGGACCGCGGTGCCTTTGGCAGGGCTGCTGGTATTTTTTCCCCAGATAGCTGAAAGCTAGAGGGGTTCTAACTTCTAATAAAGAGGGGGGTGCTGGTGTGGAATCATTGCTATCTGGGGTCTATGCTGGTGTAATCCTTTTTTTGGTTTTGCTTTAGGCGCCAGCTCTTGGATGATGAAATGAGTTTCTGCTTGGCAAGGGTCAGAGGGGACTCAACAGCCCGAACGCACGAACGCAAAGTGGCCCGGCAAGACGTTACAGATGCCAACGTCTAGGAAGATGGCTGAAGCCAAACAACACCAATTTCAGGCCAAAGAACGCCTTGATTCCAGTTGCCCGGTGGCACCATTTGAAATCCGTTTTGTTTCAGGGACGGTTCCCCTTAAAAATGAACCCAGCAACAAGTGCTTTGTTTAACCCCGTGGCCTTGTGGGTTCTGGGTTACTCTCGGCGGCATGCTTTCGTGGGGCTCGCGTTTCATTTCACCAATGCTGAGGTTCTAAGATTGTTTCCACTAATTACTAATTCCAAACTATCCCCATGTTCAATGGATTACTTTTTCCAGGCAGTGGACATGGGTGGCCGGTCTGCCTTGCACCAGCCCTGCTTAGCAAGTAAGGAACAAAGTAAGCCCCAGATTCGTGCCAAGTCATTATGTCCCGCGCACTTTTTTTTGGTGACAAGCGCCTGGTATGAAAGGGACACACGGAAAGCCTGCCAGGTCTCGCATTGAATTGTTGAGGATGAATTAAGGGTCTGAACCCTCCCCCTTTTGGCGTCCTTATGTTTTTTTGGCCGATGCGTTTCTTGTGCACAGACCTGCGTTTACCATGGGCGTACAATGTTTGCTCCAGGATGACCGCCTCCTGATAGCCTCATATGGTTGAACTTCGCCAGGGAGATGTGGTTTGCCATTTCAAGTTTCTTCAGCGGGATATCTTGACAGCAGCTTTGAAAACTTCCAGTAGGTGATTTTCCTTGAAGTATCACATGAATCCTTTCTTTAAATTTGGGACGCCTGCAAAAGGTCAGTTTCCCTGTAGCTGCACCAGGGGTGCCTAGTTTTAGCACGGCTTAATTAGTCTGCGTCCGGGAACTTCGGGCGAACGATCGGCGAGGAAAACCAAGAGCAGCGAAGCTCTCGAGGAGACGCCACTCGGAGGCGCGAAGCCGATTTTCGCCTCTCAGAGTTGGGTGAAAGTAACAGACGGAAGCTCCCAGAAGACCTTAGTTTGTAAATGGAGACAGGGCCTAAGCCACCATGTTTCACCCAGCTTTCAAAAAGGGGAGAAAAACATTTGCTTTCACATAGAAGTCGGGATGTTCTCTCGTGGCTCAAAACATTTGCTGGCCCACGTGAAGGGAATTGCGAGTTCTACCATCTACTTTCACCCTGGTATAAAAGTGGAGTAGAGGGGTGCAGAGTCCCCGATTTCCCTTGGCAAACAAATCAAGCGGATCTGACCAGCTGGATTGACCAGTCCCTTCCGTGGCCAACTTTTTGTCATTTGCAAAGTGAACGGCTCGCATGTCGGGTTTCTCTGCACCGCAATTGCAAAAAATAGTCTAGCAATGGCTTCCCATGGCTTCAATGGTGAGGAGACGAAGCAGCCTGGTGTTTGTGTTTCACCGTGCCATACCGTGCCCTGTTTTCGGTTTGTTGTAATGGACGACCCACCCATCTCAGGGGACTCCCAGATCTGCTGAACGGTGCGCGCCATTCAACCACGCACTCCTTGCAAGACCCGTGTTGTGGATGGGACAAGGGCAATCCCTGGACGACCAAACAATCAGGAGCCCGCCAGCTTATACAAATAGGAGCTTTTCTCAAACCACCCTGTGATTCAAGAATCCTTTGGGTGTTGTCGAGTGTCCCAACCCCCACCCCTTGACCAGTTTTGGGTCAGGGGTCAACATGGGTTGTCGACATTTCCAAGGGAGACCACAGGGGGTGGATATATTTCATGCTTGTTCCCCCAGCCCCTGTTTGAGGCTTAGTATGCAAGGTGTCAACCTGACACTGCTTTTTTTGGTGTTTTGCTTGACCAGCGGTTTCCAAGTCCTTGAAGCAAGTGAGATGCCAAGCCTGACTTGTTCACAGCCACAGTTTGACCCTTCAAACGGCATTGGCTGCTCCTTGACTCGGCCACAACCCACCAAACCGTGCGACACCAAGCAACCCGGGCCCCCGTTTTTGGTTGGTATCGCCAGTGGGGGGCCGCTCCTATGTGGGCCATGATGATGAGTCCGACAGCCGGGGCCCTTATAAACCGCGCCGGCGTGACCTGCGACCTGGGCCAGGGGTTGACCAAAGTGTTTGTTTTTGTTGTTCTGGGCAAGTGGCCGGGATGTTTTGGAGAGGGTTCTCGAAATTAAGGTGATCCCCACTTTTAAGCAGATACTTAATACTTGTTTTGTTGGAACCTGTGGCAAGAGACAAGTGGATGGGATGTTGTCCAGATATCTGCGAACAGCTCAACAGGTCCAGGGCCGCACCCTTCGCTTGAGGCATTGAGTCCATCATAAGGGGTATGGGCTATGAGTGTTCCAAATGGTGATCCCTCTTGGCTGCATTTATTACAGGGGATCCAGGGTCAAAGCCACGTTAAGGGACCATTTGACCCTGAGACGACTCTGACCGGGGCGTGACGTGAGGTATGCTTGAACAGTTCCTAGGGGCATGGGAAGTGAGCGTGTTATTTGCACTCACTTGTCCAGCGTTTTATTTTTCTCCTTGTGAGTTTGTTTGTCAAGGTTTGAAAAGGTTGAGCTTTGAATTCCCAGCCCCAAAAGCGCAACCTTCTGAAAACCACTTCGAAGTCTCCTGATATCCCAAGATGTCAAGGAGACAGTTCTTGAACATTAGCACCGGACCCAACAAGCCCTCATATTCGCAGGAATCTTCTGGGATCGACGCCTACTTAGGAGGCTCTTGGTGAAAGTTGCGGGGGAGGAAGCAAGGGTTTGCTTTGGAGCAATTCCTTTGACTCCAAATCGGTTGGAACAAATGGTGTCTGGGGGGTCCATTTCTGAAGCCTTGAGGCCTGAATGTTCGAAGTCAAGGAGTCTTAAGGCCATTGGCCCCACTCAAGACTTTAGCCCAATGAGCCCTTTTCCCACCCACATCGAAGAGTTGAAGACCCCAAGAGCTTCCGTTCGCAAGTTTCATGTACTCCACCTCCTTTCGGGAACAGCCATCTATTGAAATCTTTGTTCCGTCAGGGGCGGGTAACGTCCTCGTTTCGCAAGTTTCATGTCCACCTGTCGGGCACGTTGGCTCCAGCGTTCGCCCATCGGATTGGAAGATTCGCCGCTGGGCCAGGGTCATGGGGCGCAGATCGGGCGCGGCGCTTCTCGCGCCGATTCTGGCGCTTCTCGGGCTGTGGCATGGCGCCCCTATGGGCTTCGCCATAGGCAGGTTGCTGAGAGTTGCAGGGAGGATGCAGTCTTTATGGCAATTTGATATCGAATTTCTTGGACTTTAAACTGGTTTGGTTGAAACAAGTCGGATTTTCCGAATTGGACCCACAAAAAATATTGTAAACTTTTTGCGGAGGGGTCAACAGCATCCAAGGTTTGAACCAGTTGGAAACCATTTCCTTTTGCCAGCTGATCTAAAGGATCCCTTAGGTACTGTTTGAAAAACATGTAGTTTTCGGATATCATTGAAGGACCCCTTTAGGCTAGGGCTTTTTGTTTGGTTTCCTTGTGCCTCCAGGGTATGGCCAAGTATGGCTGGAGCTTTGGACCAACCCTGTGAGGATCCACGCAGCTGGCGGCCGAGCGATCCTCGCGATCCAAGATGGCGCGGAATGCGGCGTGGCTTTTTGGATCCACAGCCGGGAATCTGGGTACCCCAAACATGGGTGGACCAATAAAGTTGGACAAAGAAGACATGGTTCTTTTTGACCCAAAGGGGTACCCCGTGTTTGGACACCCACATGGTTTTCTTTCAGACCCCAAACATGGGTGGTGTCAACAAAAAGGACCCTCAAAAGAAGACATACTCTTGAGATGTTCACATTTGGTCAGGGTGTGGCAAGTGGGTGTGTGGAATTCTGGTGGGTTGTTGGGTTGAGAGCTTTCTCATGTCAACCTAGAGACTGGGAGACTTCTTGCGCTCATGACAACCCGAAGGAACTACTTGTTTAGGAAAGAAACTGGGGAAGTGGATTTGGGGAAGATGTAGGCCAAGCCAAGCCAGGGTGCCCAGCAGCCCTGCATTTGGCTTTGAGGTTTTGTCTTCCAACTTATCTAGGTCTTCTAGCTAGGTGCCCTTTTACCGTGTCTTTTTTGGGGGAGGGTTCCCCTACTAAAATAGACAACGGAAAAAAAAAGAGGTTGGTACCCTTATTCCAACCTCTCTACTGGAGGACCTAGTTACATAGGGTGAATTGCTACTTTGCCCCGTTGGGTTTAGACGGAAATGCGAATTGCCAAGTATGCTTTTGTTTTGCTGCGCCAGCGCGCATGCAAAGTATGTGTTGCTAAACACGGGCGTTCGAAGCCCTTGGCTTGCGCGCGTGTTGGGTTGTTTGTCCCACGCCAATTGGAGGGTGGACGGTTTCCAAAGTGAGAAGCCCGTTGCAGGATAACAATACTCTTTGCCCTTTGGTTGCGGAAGGCCCCCCTTTGCAATTGCTCAGTAGGGAATGAGGGAATGAGCTTTATATTTTTGGACCATCCAACAGGTGGTGTTCTTTAAGGGGACGCCTGAGTGCATTCCATGTCTCCTTCCCTCCCAAGCGCACCGATCGCAAGTCACATCGAAACTTCCATGAATTGGATAGGGAGCCACCTCAAAAGTGGCTAGTAATAGGGGCGACTAGTAAGGCCTATTAAAAGCCAATAAACTCCTTTTTTAAAGAGGTCCCCGCCTTGGGGCCTCAGACAAGTTGCTAACCATCCAACTCTTGTTGTTTCTTTTGGCTTCGGGGACCAACGCCTGGGTTCATTCCCTCCCCTTTACTTGGTGGCTCCCAGCCATCCGGTTCCTTGGCTTGTTAGCCTTTTAGTGTTTCTGGGTGAATTATAACGACGTCACATGACCTCACCCCAAATGGTGGTTTATGCAGGGAATAGCCCCCCAGCGGTTGGTGAAATATTATAATTCATTCATGTTTTTAGTGGTAGTTTCCATTTAACCCACTAAACGTTGTTCACTTTTAGCGGGGGATCCGAGTGCAGCCCAGTTTACCGCGCACCGATCGCAGCTCACGTCCAGCGTCCAGGCGGAGGCGGACCTGGCGCCGGCAGCGCAGGCGGCACGCGATGCCTCGGCGGCGGCCATCAAGTCGGTGCCCTTCGTAGCGCAGCCGGGGGATTTGTTCGGCGGCGCGGTGCAGATTTTCATCATCCCCTTTTTCGTGGGCGTCTTTGCGGCCCCTCGGCGAAGCAACAGAAAAAGTCCGCACTCGGCGGATGCTTCGTATTTGGTCAGTGGCTTTTTTTCTGGGAAGTGCGGCCGCTCGGCTTAGTATAGGCTCGGCGGAAATTGTTTTTTTGGGTCCAAGCGATAGGGGTGAAACAGTTTTTTTTTTGTGACGGAGCGGCTTTAAATTCAATACTCGGTGCTTTCTGTTTGGGTTCAAGTGACAGGGGTGGATGAGGCAGTTGTTTGTCCACTTTTCCCTCGGCCGGGCTAAGCCCGAGTGACAAAACCTAAACCAGGCGGTAGGAACGTGGTTGGTTGAAAAGGGCTGGAAGTCGGTTACGCCGCTTGAGTTACGTACAGAAACTGAATGAAGCCTCGGCGCCTTGTGGACAAGCCTCCTTGCAGGGCAGAAATGCTTGCAAAGCCTATAAGTAAGGCTTTTTTCAAGGGATCCGGGACTGTAGGGTTTTGTCGGAAGGTGGATTCCGGATCGAATTAGGTCGAAGGTGGCTCAAAAGGTGGGTCAACAGGTGGGGGTGGAAGAAATTGTCGGTTGAAATGATTTGCTAAACTTGTAGTGGTAACGTGATGGGTAAACGAGGCGGTTGGTTACAAGGTTATTGAGAAGATGTGTGGCTGCAAATGTTGCTTAACATTCTCGCTGAAACGGGTTGGCGTGAAAGGTGGGTTAAAAAGGTTTAAAGCAGTGTTTCCCTGCAACACATGAACTAGTCGGGGTCCCCAGTTTTTGCACAGGCCCTACATCAATCTGCTCAAAGTGAAGTGACTTGATGCGGCCTCCTTTTGTTTGGCTTGATGTCAACCAACGTGGATGTTAGCGGTCTGTCAGCATGGCAACCCAGAGCCCAACCACCTTGTGTGTCCAAGTCTTTGGGACAAGTAAGGTCTACCTAGTGACAGTTTTCAAGCCCGACTGGATCCTGAACGACAACCAGATGATCGAGTACAAGAAGGCCGCCGTTGTTCATTGGATTTCGGTTGTATGTTGCTGTGTGAGCTTTTTGCTTTATTTGTGTGTGAAGCAGAACCGACGCAAGCAAGGCAAGACCCGGTTCATGTTTCTAAGCCTGCAAAAGAAAGCGAAGACCCCGTTTTCGATCCAAAGTTTTTTTTATTAGGCTTTTCGTATCAGTTGGCTCCCCATTCCTTTGTTTTTTGGTCGAGGCCTTTTGGGTCCCGGCTGTTTTTGTCCGGACCCCATGTTTGAATCCCCGACCATATAGCTGGTGAAAAATATATTTTGGGTGTGTCGCTGATTAAGACAGCATTTTTTGGGTTTCAAGGGAAACCAAATGGAACCCCACCAATTGCGGGGACCCCCTAAAAACAGAGACCCACTGGACACCCACCTTGTTTCCTGCAGGGACAAGGGGTGCTCCAACGAGCAAATCGCAGTCATGTATTACTTGGTGTTTTGGAGACAGGTGGCTTGAGTTTGTTTTTTCTGTGTTTTCCCATTCACCCTCTACAAGAACCAGGGGTTTCAACCCCCAAACCAGGCAACCACAACCTGAACCAGACCTACGCCCCAGACCCCAGACCTAGCCCTGTCCTCACCCTAACCCCCAGACCTAACCCGCTGTGAAATCTCCCTTTTGCTCGCTGAGGCGGAGCGCCAGTACTTCCTGGAGAAGCGGGGGGCCGTGAAAGATCCCGAGAATCCGGCGGAGCTGAACCGGGCGCAGCGAAGGAAAGCAAGGAGCTTGAAGAGCAAGCGCCAGCGTTGAACCGAGCGCCCACACCCATTGGCCATTTTAGGTGGTTGTATGTTGGCTTTATGGGGATGTTGCGCGGTTATGTTGTTTTCTCATGGTTGTTTTTGCAGGCGTCATGGTTTTTGGGTTGTTTTATGGTGGTTTTATGGCTGTTTTATGTTTGTGTGTCTTTCTGATTGTTTGTTTTATGGTGGTTTCATGGTTTCATGGTTGTTTTGTGGCAATTTCATGGTTTCATGGTTTTTTGGTGGTTCATGGCTTTATGGCTTCATGGTTGTTTTACCGTGGTGTTTTCTGTTTGTATGCTTGTTTTATGATGGCGCTATGGTTTATGGTTTTACTTCAGCAGTTCTATGATATGGCTTTATGGTTTACTGATTATGTGGCCTTATGTTTTTTTTTGTGTGGTTCTGTTGTGTTGATTTCAATGGTTTTATATGGTTTTGTGGTTTTAGGGTGGTATGGTTTCATGGTTCGGCAGTTGTATGGTTTTATGGTGTTGTGTTTGCTGTATGGTTATATTCTGGTTGTGTTGTGGTTTTATAATTTCATGGTTTCATGGTTTTACGGCGATTGCTTTCTTTACGATTTTATTTTATGGGTTTATGGTTTTATTATGTGTGCTTGTATTGGTTTCATTATTGTTTTGTGGTTTATTGTTTTATGGTGTTTTATGGTAATGTTTGTTTTTATGTGTTATGGGTGTTTCACGGCTGAGTGGTTTCATGGTTTTGTGTTTTGTTGGTTTTACGGGCGTGGTTTTGTGGTTTATTTTCGTATGGTTTCATGGCTTGTGGTTTATGGTGTTATGGTATTGTTGGTTTACTGTGTTATGGTGTTATGTTTGTCTTATGGCTTTATGCCTTTATGGTATTGTGTGGTTTTGTGGTTGTTTGCAGTTGTGTGTGTTTTTTTGGTTCTATGTTGTGTTATGGCTATTCTCTGGTGCTGTTCTGGTTTTGTAGTTGTTTATGGTTCGACTACCTGGGTTTATTGCGGTTTTGCGGTTGTCTTGTGGTTCTACTACATGGTTTTGTGGTGGTTTGTGATGGTTACAACAAGGACGCAAGGTCTATATAAACCCTAGAACCATGATAGTAAAAGAAAGGTTCAGTGGGTTTTGGCCGCTGCTCGGTTGGATTTTGTTGTCATTTGATTACCTGAGTCGGGCCCGGCAAGCGTGTCTCAAGCCAACAGAAGACTAACGATTTCGGCTTCCAGTTGACCTGGTGTTGGGTGTCCAGATGAAAATTGATATGTCAAAAATGGTGGGCTGGAATTTGGAAGGCGTTGATTTCAGCAAACATGTTGATTCCTATTGTCCAAAAATGGTGGACCGTATTTGTGTGTTTTGTGCTCCTTTCACTGGCTAGCCTGACCCTCATTTCCACTTTGGGGTGAGGTTGGCGCCAAAGACCCCTTCGGCGTGTCGCTTGCGAGAGAAACAAGTGTGCTTTGGGCTGCGTGCGCCCGCAACGCGCCCGGACACGTGCCATGAACAGCGTAAAGGACCCCGTTGAAGGGGTCTCTGTTGGAGGTGCCTTATGCCCTATAACTCCCTATTGAAAAACAAGACAACCCAAGCAGGTTGATTTCCCGATCCCTCAAACAGGGTTCCTTTTCACGAAAGCTAGCTTTAGCTAGCTGAAGTTTCTCCTTGCGTAAGCAAGGTAAGGGGCTCAAATGCCGAAAGATTGATTTTTTCAATTATTTGAGCCGAAAAGATTGAAAAACATCAATTATTTAGACCCCCCCCCCCCTCCCCCCCCCCCCCGGTCTCAGGCTCGATTCCTCCCTGGTCCATCCCCCCCCCCGGGCAGTGGCTCAGTGTTCAGCAGTCTCGGTTTGCCCGTTTTGGACTTGGTGCTACGAACTTTTACATGTTCCACCGATTCAGCTTGTTCATTTGAGACCTCAGTCTTCTCAGTAAACCACCTCGCAAGAATCTTTGCACACGCAGCATGCAGAACCCAGAGGTGCTTTAAGACAGCTTCTGACGCCTCTCGTTGTTTTCATTTTTCAAGGTTTGCCACGCCACCATGTGCGTTTGCGTGTCGCATCCTACAAATCTTGCCGGGCCTCTCGTTGTACACAAGCTACCTATGAATCCACTCTGTCACCGACCCATCTCATGCAACAACTGCTAGCTTTCGTTCACCCGCTCCTCAAGTTTTTCATACCCCCAAACCAACAAGGGACGCACTTTCAACCGACCCTTTCCAAAGGTTTCAAACCAATAAGGTGAAGTATGGAAGGCATGGAAGGCTCTTATTTTCCGCAAACGAGCCCTTCCGAAACCATACATGTTCGCAGAATGTGGGTGGGGAAATGAGTAGATGGGGGGAGGATAGGTTGTTCGACCGGTTGGGGATGGAACCAGTTGGGAATCTTCGCCTAGATGGGGATGTCGCAACCTCTCCTGAAGGTTGTCCACCTGAGGTTCCTTGATTCCGGCGCCCAGTCGGGATTGCCGGTCGAAATAGGTGGTTTGCCTCTGATTTCCCATGAGCCTGTTGGTTTTAAAGGGAATCTATCACTCCTGGATTTGTTTTATTCTATCTGGTTTTTAGGGGACTTGGCCAAATGGAAGAACATGTGTGTGTGTGTGTGTGTGTGTGTTTGTTTAAGGTGTTTTGCGGTTTGCTTGACAACCGTGCTTGGGTTGGAGAGAGAATGGGGGCGTGGCATTTGCTCGGCCGAGGTGCAGCAGCCAAGCGGCGGCGGCAAGCAGGTCAGATCCCTGCCCTGGGATGAGCCCTGGAATTCCATTTGCCCGGAGTACGGAACCTTCCCCAAAAGGAAAGTCGCCTTGCGAGGTCAAAGGCCCTGCTCAGGAAGTGAGTTGTTCTCAGGGACCCTGGGTCGGCATTCTCGTGAGGGTCCGTGCACGCTTGTCCCTTACAGGCCAACAAGGTCGCCCTGTCTCCGTCCTGTGTGGCCGCCAGCTGTTTTGCCCTTTCTCTAGCCAATTGCCCCGCGGTGCCTCTTTTCCTTTGGGGAAGGATTTGGTTTCCCTTTGAAATCAAGCAGCAAGAAAGGTTTGTTTTGCCCCATGGCGGCCTTCCGAGAGCACAAAGGGAAACACCTATCTATCATGCCTTATGTGCCTCCGTCAACGGACCAAAGCGTTTGGTGGACAGGATGTTTCGCTGCATTTTGTCGATGTTTAAAACAAATACCCACGCGCAAAAACCCGACGTGACCGGATCGAGCTCTGGGTCAGGCCGCAAGCCGCGAGTGCGCGCCTGAGAAGTTTGCTGAGGTCACCCCAGAGGTGACAAGTTCCTGGTTGTGAAATACACTTTCCCTGTCTAGACTTAGGATACATTTTACATTTTACCAGTGACTCAAAGTGAAGCAAACTGTAAACTATACATTGTAACTGGGCCTAACTCAAATCATGTTTCGTTTTCAAGCGCCCCAGAAGCAAAGCCTGCTTCCCCGGAACCAACAACAAGCATAGTTCCAGCCAGGTTTCAGAGATTCGTCCTGAGGCAATTCGTCCCGTTTGTTCAAGATGTCATTCCGGCCGTGCACTCTTGCTGCAAATCAGTTCATCACTTGAGCAAGCCTCCAAGGGTTGACCCCCCATATTCATATTCTTCACCCAACGTTCTTCCGGAAACCACGCATGCTTCGCGTTTGCTTTCATGTTTTTGTGAGAAGGATCCTTGAAGAGAATGGGGGAGGCGCCATCTCAGCCCTTAGCTTTCAGTCTCTCTTTTTGAGACCCTTTTTTTGGAAGCCAATTTGGCGGGTTCCGAAGTAATATTTAAAAAGGGCCTGGCAGAAGCAAGAGACAGAAGTGTTCAGCTTGGAGAACACCTTGATAGAATCACACCAGCTGCTGTCGCTCCCAAGCGAGCTTTGCCTGAACCTAAAGTTCAGGGTTTGCTTGTTGTCTCCACTATATGGGGAGCCTAAGAGACCCGATAGAAATGTAGCCCCCAATATTTTCACGACACGTCTAAGGGCAACCTGGTAAGCATTTGGGGTGGTTTACAGTGTCGAAACGGACCTTCGACGCAGGGCGAGAGGGAGAGGCGTTGGATCATGGGAACGTGGCGCTTTTGGTAGCTTTAAACATCACCTTTTGTATTAATGTTTTCTGGGTCCGGTGATGTTTGTCGAAATCTACGGACATTTTCATGTTCACTGTTGCGGGAACCCTTCCCCCACCGCCCCAAGGGATTGAACAGGGTCCCTTAAAGGAATCCAGCTGCCAGTCAGGCGGTTTGTTCTTCTCAAGCAGGTGATTTGTGCTTTGTTCCTTTGAGGAGCCCTGGGAACGGTGTCCCGCCCTGATCCGCTCAGGCTCGGACAGCTTGGCCTGCCCTTGGCTAGTGGGCCCGCCTTGTCTCACCCAGTGGGCATCTCGCAAAGGAACTCCTCGAAATGTTTGTATTGTCCTGCAAAAATAACATCAGAAGGGCGTTGGTCCTTTTGCAGTTGTTCCAGGCTTCGCTAGCACCCAGTGTGGCTTGTTCAGAGGAGTCTTTTTGCGAGTGCCGACGAAAAGGCCAAAGCCCGGGAAAACAGGCAAGCGACAGGGTGGCCTGGTGTTGCTGTAGCCAGGGCAGGCACCGTTACGCAGGCTGCAATTCAGTTCATGGCTGGCTCGCAAGAGCGGAGGTGGAATTCAACCTGCAAGAACATGCTCACTTGAATCAACCAAACATGGTTAACCAACCAATAACAAATGGCCATGGGGCATAGCCTATGGCTCCATTTTGG